CAAGTCCTTAATGGAGTACTTCCTCATTCTTACTCACACTGATGGAAGGTTTTATGGTGTTGTAAAAATTATTTGTAGTGGCATCGAATCGCTGCCAAGATGTAAGCTGTCCTGAGTCCCCCTTTGGGGGTAGAGAAGAGACAGGGTAGAAATACTGGAAATAAATAAAAAAATAAGTTAAATTAGCCTCTACATTTCCAACCTGATAGATTCAACTATCTTTTGGGCTGCATAGGTCAACAACAAACTAGACTATTAATGGTTGGGAGCTTACTCTGACCTGGTCTGGCTTTGAACTCATGACTTCTCGGCCAGTTGTGATTTAATGCAGCTAGCTACTAACTAACTGTGCCACAGCCCAGTCCTATGCCATCATAGTTCACTTTTATTGTTGTGCATTCAGTGAGCAAAAGCCCCCCCCCCCCCAAAAAAAAAACTTACAGAAACATCTCTTTCAACATACATATTCCATCGTTGCTAGGGAGCTACAATTCTATTTGGCACAGGTTGGGAGGGGTTAGCCAATAACCAGTGACTGAATGGGGGCTGTCTAGCCAAATCCTTTGCACTCATATTGGAAGGAAATGAGGACTACAGCTTCATTATGACTATCCCCAGCACTGTCAAAAGTCCACCAATGTGACGTCCTGCTTTTATGAACAAGGAAATTGCATTTAGAGGAGAGGTCACTTAGAGCAGTGTAATCAGTTTACTACTTTTCTCTTTTGTTAGGCCAAATGTAATGATTATTTCTCCAACTATAACCAGCTGAGCCTTAGTCAATTGTTTACTCTTTTGTCCTTTTCCTGCCCATCAACAAAATGATGCAACATATTGAGACAATGTAAGAGTATAAAATGTGTAAGCTCAATATGGGGGAGCATTTGTGTGTATGTGTTTTTTTAATATCTCACACCATATACAAGATCCACTAATTCAAAGCTGTTTTCAGGCTGAGGAAGAACATGGAATCTGCTTCAATCTTGGAGCTCTGATTTCTAGGAGAAACTTCCTTCCTCCTGGTCTGACAGATCTGCTGTTGACATCCATGACTAGGTTTTGCCTTACACATTTATTGCTAAAATACCAGAGGACTAAGGTTACCTGAAATCATTCTTTCTTTCACTGAAACTCTGGTCGCTGTCCAGAATCCAGCTAAAGAATTGTGTTCTCTTTCGTAAAATCCTGGTTCTGCTGGGTAGGAGGAAGGAGAACTAGTTAGTTTGCCCTCCTCTTCCCTTAATTGATTTTATTTACTTATCATATCAGAAGCAAACCAAGGGTACAGTTGTAATGTATTTTTAAAAAAAACCACAAAGTTTAAAAACTTGGCATTATATTAAATGTCCTTTGACTTGTCACTGGCCACTTGAAGTGCCTCTGGTGTTGCTGCAAGAAGGTCCTGCATTGTGCATGTGGCAGGCTCAATGCACAATGCATTGTAATAGGCGGTCTGTGGTTTGCTCTTCTCCACACTCGCATGTCGTGGACTCCACTTTGTGGCCCCATTTCTTAAGGTTGGCTCTGCATCTCATGATGCCAGAGCGCAGTCTGTTCAATGCCTTCCAAGTCTTCTGTTTGCCCAGGGGGGAGTCGCTCATTTAGTATTAGCCATGGCTTGAGGTTCTGGATTTTTTGCCTGCCACTTTTGGACTCTCGCTTGCTGAGGCGTTCCTGAGAGTATCTCTGTAGATCTTAGAAAACTATTTCTTGATTTAAAGCTTTGGCGTGCTGGCTGATATGAGAACAGAGGATGGGCCGAAGATGTCACTGCCTTGGTCCTTTCATTATTGGCTGCTACTTCCCAGTGGATGTCAGGTGGTGCAATGCTGGCTAAACAGTATAATTTCTCTGGTGGTGTAGGGCAAAGACATCCTGTGATAATGCGGCATGTCTCATTAAGAGCCACATCCACTTGTTTCATCATGGTTAGATGTGTTTCACACTGGGCATGCGTACTCAGCAGCAGAGTAGCAAAGGTGGATGCCTTCATTATGTCTGATTGTGCCAGTCAGCTTTCACATGATATTGTTTCTAGCACCCACTTTTTGCTTGATATTCAGGCAGTGCTTCTTGTAGGTCAGAGCATGGTTCAGGGTAACTCCCAGGTATTTGGGTGGGCTGCAGTGCTCCTGTGGGATTCCTTCCCAGGTAATCCTCAGAGCTTGAGATGCTTATTCTTAAGATGGAAAGTACATGTCTGTGTTTTAGATGGATTAGGAATCAGATGGTTTTCCTTGTAATAGGTAGTAAGGGCACCTAGAGCATTAGAGAGCTTCTGTTCAACCATTTCAAAGCTCCCTGCTTGGGTGGTGAAGGTGCGATCGTCAGCATAGATGAAACTCTCTGTCTCTTCTAGCAGTGGCTGATCATTTGTATAGATGTTAAACACTGGTGGAGGCAGGCCGTTCTTCTGTTTTCACCATCTGCTTCTTTGCGGCTGGAATTCAACAAAAATCTCCTCTTCCCTTACTGTGTATTACCTAGGCATGTGTTTGTGTGTGCGTGTGTATATTATCACTGTTTAATGTTTCAACAAGGTTGGCACACCAGAGGGTTAACCCACTTGCAGTGGGTTGTTCTTTCAGTCTACATGAGAATGGCTGATGTTACCATGGGAAGGTGTTGTTTCCATTCCATAGAGAGGCTCTATAATCTATGTGACCACATTCCTTTTATGATCAAATAATTTGAATGAAAGGACTAATAAATATAGGAGCTGCCAATTATTTATCATGATCAGTAACCCATATTAAGATATGATTCACACATACTGACCATCATTTGATACCATTTGATAATATTCAATAAAATGTGAGAACTGCATTGAATCTGAAGTATTATGTCCGAGCAGCAGACATCAAGTGCAAAGGTACTGTGGTCACTTTTTATTGTCCCCATTTGCCCCAGTCATGATTGTAACAAAATCCACAAAGTTCCCATGAATGACACCAAACCTTTTTTTATTATGCCTCTGGGGAAAGGTCTCCTCCAGTTTGTATGAACTAGTGATTGATGGGCAGTGATGATGATTACTTAGTGATATAGTAGAGTTGATTCAAACAGAATTTATTACTTGAAAGTTCAACTGTTAAAACGGATCCACTTTCTTGGTTCTCATGCTGACCCACAAAATCCCCTCGGGAACGGTCATTGTATTCCTACTAAGTGGTATTCAGAGCATAATGCATGAGAACATATGCAGTTTTGAATTTGTGTGATGAAAAAGCAGTCTAGAAAGGTCATACATAAAGGTATGAAGTGGCACTTTCTTCTCTCACACCCTAATTCAAGCAATGGCTTCTTTGGTAGGTGAGTCAAATCTTTACTTCACCAAGGTTATCATAAACAAGCAACACCACCACAGGATATTCACCACTATATTGTATGATATTTGTGATACCTTCCCCTTTTCTTCAATTAAAGTTAAGCTATACAATAAGCACAAGAAAGAAGGAAAGTACTAGAAAGTTTAGGCTCCTGTTCCTGGAACCCAGGCTTCCTCCTCTTTTCCTTGTAGTCAGTTGTGTTATCTGTTAAAAGTAATGTAGAAAACTACGTTTCATATTATCTTCCTCTCTTTCCCCATTTTTTCAGTGTTAGTGACAAGGCTCAGCTGGAGTTACTGCCAAAGAGCCGCATTTGCAGTGATGCCTTTCTGCACTTCAAATTAACAGTTAAAATAGCAGATAGACTGCAGTGCCATTCTAAGCTTTCAGGACAATTCAGCCTGAATGTTATGTATTTCCATTCTCACCTCTGGTTACAGAGGAAGCCAAAAAAGGCAGCTGGGTACACAATGCAGAGGGGCACAGCACAAAGCCTCCAGGTGGAATTGGGATTTTCTTGTTCTTTTTATACATTATCAGGAAAGAACAGCTTTACAAAAGGAAGGTCAGGTTGCTCCCTTGATTAGTCATAATAGGCAGTGACCTGCTACCTTCAGTTGCCATTGTGAAGCGAAGTCAATTTTTGAGGAATTGGCAGTATAAGGAGGAAGATTTGTAACCTAGAATAAGGCTTGTGGATTTCCCCCCCCCCCCCCTCAGGACTCAAAAAAAGAAATACTAGTTGATTAAGGAAACATCAATTCCCTGCCACTTCAGTGAATCTGAAGGTGTAAGTTTCCACCAGAAACATGGGCCAATTTTGTCATAAATCGCTACTGGAAATCATACAGCTAAGGTTTTGTTTTTTTTAAGGCTCTGCCTTTACATAACACAAGCACAAATATATCTTATCCATCAAAGTGAGAGTGTAACGGTTTGTTAACTTCAAAAATGCAGGCTTTTTTGTTTGGGGGATGTACTATAGAAATGGAATATTTCAAGAATGTGAAAGGATATTATTAAGTAAGAAAGGTGTTCCAGCATCTTTCATAGCAGCTTTTGTTTTCCCATTCTAAGCAATGTAGATACAGGCTCACATGTGTTACAGGGCTTTCAATATGTTATTCTACTCCAAATAGGAGCATGATGAGCAGCAGCGAGGTAGTTGTTTCTCCTGCCTGGAGTAAGGCCAAGTTACTCTCCTCTCACCATAGCATTTGACATTTTAGTTTAATATTTGCTTTGAATTACCTTGAGTATAAATCTTTGGCCAAAAAGCAGACTAAAGAAAGAAAAAAATGATATCTTCCACATCCCAACAAACAGAAGACAAGATTGAATTCTGAATGAAAACTGACTTCAGCGAACTGTGAACTGCCTTACTTTGCCACAGACATTTGTAGAACACCCATGAATGGCTGTGACTCAGGTTGTTATCCCTCTCTTTGATTTGATTCACTCTACTGTCTCTTCAGGCCATTTGGTCCATTAACACTTTTCTCTGAATTGGGATTTTGTTCCATTTCCAAGAAAGAAAGTTTAATCTGAAATCAATTCTAACCCAACCTTTTAAAAGGCTTGTGAACACAGTCAATTAGTGGATATTCTTGTTTCCTAAAGATGTCTGTGTATTTTTGCTTCAGTCGGTGTTGTTTGCTCCTGCCTTTACAGGATTCGACACTAGCATATTACCAATCTGTAAGGACTCGTTGGGCTGGATGTTCAACAAACTGGATATGAACTATGACCTTCTTCTTGATCACTCTGAGATCAATGCCATTTATCTTGATAAGTATGAGCCATGCATTAAACCACTCTTCAACTCCTGCGATTCTTTCAAAGATGGAAAGCTTTCAAACAATGAATGGTGTTACTGCTTTCAGAAACCTGGAGGTAAGGCCCTGGATCTCATACTAGAAAATCAGTGATACCTGCTATTCTGGATGGAGGTTTCTGGGAACTGTAGTAAAAAAGAGAAATGTTGCTAAGTTCTGCTATTATTACTTTTAGCATCCTGTGTATGGCATTAATGACGCTAATTGTCCATAAATGCAAAACTGCTGACACCCCAAAATACAGTGAGACAAAATGTTTGTCCTGGTGATTAATGTCAGATTTATTTGGTATTAAGCAGAATGCAGCATAGCCAATGAAGTATGAACTTGTGGTAGGAAACAAGATAGAAATACACAGGATGATCTGGTAAAAACCAAAACTATCATTTATTGGTTCAAAAAAATCTATCTGGGAGAGAAAATATATTTTGGTACAAGAATCCATAAAGCTGACTCTCATGTGTGAGGATCAGCCATCCAAAGCCAGAAAATTAAATTAAAAATATTTTAATTTGGAATTGGAATGAAATTAGAAGACATCTACCCTCCAAGTAGAGAGCATTCAACACACAAGATGGCATAGCAGAGAAGGCCCTGTGGTATAATGCCCCCACTAGTGAGAGACATTAGAAGATCCCTCCAGCAAACCTCAATCGTTGTGGAAAGTATATAAAGGGAAAGGAGGACCTTCAAGTATAGCGGTCTCAAGATTCCAAGCTATTCATTCTGAATGTCATCACTATCACCCTGAATTCAGATTAGGATTACAATTAGGAGTCAGTGCAATTTGTTCAAGACTCTTATGTGGTGTCCATATGATATGTCAGTCAGCAATCTTGCTGCTGTGCTTTGTGGTAATTGTAGCTTCTCAGTCACCACCAAGGTCAGCTCCACTAGGATATATTACAACAGTCTAATCCTGAAAGTATATGAACTGTTGTAGGAAAAGCTAGGAAAGGCTATAGCTAGTGGGTCAGTTGATGCTGGACTGTCTGCATTTCTAGTAGTACTACCATGCTATACACATACTTCCTGGTGACTTCTAAATGCTTTGGGCTATAATTCCCTTGAAGTTCCTCCTAGCATGCCCAAGGACCAGAGATTATGAAACCACAGTCCAAAATATTTCAAGTATAGCAGGTTCCTTCCCTCATCTGATTGTGTTGATGGCCTCCTACTCGGTGACTGCAAAATGCATTTATTCTGTCTTGTGTATATTTTGGTATATGCCTTTTAATATTGTTGTATCTGTTGTTTTAACTATGTTTTACCCCACCTCAAATCACAAGGAGAACCGGGTAACAGGTGATGATGGTGATAATGGTATCATATGAGCATTGAAATGCTCCATATGTTCCCTGAGAAATCTAGACCACAGCCCTGGCTTGCAGTGAGACCCTAATTTCAATTGCTATTAGCTTATTGCTTATGTTATTGCTGATAATGTGGAAATCTGTCTATTAGCAAGCAGTAAATTAGCATCCTGGCTTTATAGGAGGCTGATGAAGGGAAGGGAAAACTGTTTAACAACCAAAATGGCCCCTAAACACTATTTTTAAGCATAACATGTTGTGAATTTTTTTAATTAGTAAAGCTAATGGCATACATTTGTTCTGCAGTACAGTACAAGCATATGTGGTTCATTTGTTCCCAGGTGAGCTATAGACTACATTGCCTGTCAATTCTGAAGCTAATCATTAGAGAATCTGTCCCTTACCATCTGGAAACTAACTTTCCTATATTATGTTTTAGGTCTCCCTTGCCAGAATGAGATGAACAGAATTCAGAAGCTGGGCAAAGGGAAAAGCCTGATGGGTAAGCTCAGTTATTTGCCACTCACTCATCTCAGCCACTAATTAAAACTTCTGTTACTACAGTACTATAACATTACATGCTGTAACCGCTTCTCAACAGAACAATAATAAGAATGCCATCCCCACCACCATCCAGTTATGTGTTACCTTCTTCATGGAATCATATAAATAAAAGAGAACAGTCTGTACGAAATATATTCCATGATTTGGCACACTAAATAGCATTACATGAAAGCAAGATTGCCCTTCCACTGGAATTTCAAATCAGTTCAATTTCAAATCAGTTCCATACACTTTACCCATATAATTTGAATATATTTTATTTTATCTCTGTACAACACTGATATATAAAAACCTGCTTTATCAAATCTGCCCCCAGTCCCTGAAGCCCTGCACTTTTCATTGTGTTGTAATGATAGGCATATTAAAGCATTATTAATATGTAGATCACATAGTGCCATTTGGAAATTGAAGACTCCATCTGTTAAACTGCAGGTTTTTAATACTAATAGCGCAGGACACTGTGAGGTAATGTCTGAGTGCATTTCTCTTCCACTAATAATACTTTGTAGTTAAAGTAAAATAATATGTAGAGGAAAATAATTTAGATATAATTTCATTGCTCTAAAGTGCCAACACTGACATTCTCACATAAGTTTTTTTTTATAAAAAAAAACACAAGTGGACAAGAAAATCATTATATTTTTAACAAAGTTAAATGGAAAGAGTGGTTTGATGATGTGAACCTTCTCTACTGGAGCTGTCAATCATTTTTCATCTCTATAAAAATATTAACACAAATCATTTTTAATAAAACAACATACAATGTAAAACTACACCAAACAGCTACAAATTACAAACTAAAATAATATTTAAACATAAACTAAGATATACATACCTCAAACAAAAATAAGAAACAAATTATTTCCAACTTTCCAGCTAATGGTAGTAGGTGCTCAGATGTAATACTTCCTCTGCATTAAATGAATTTCTACTTGTTTTAACCCTGCTATTCTTCTAATATGAATATTTTCATCCAATAATCCCTCAAACTTTCCCAAAGCTGGTCAACAAAGACATATTGTTTCATTCGGTATTTCATTTCTATTTATTTATTTATTTCATGTCAGAAGCAACTTGAGAACATATTGTAGGTCAGTTCTGGTGTGTGAGAATCGATCATCTACAAAAACGTTGCCCAGGGAACACCCAGATAGGTTACCACCCTGTGGGAGGTTTCTCTCATGTTCCCACATGGGAAGCTGGGGCTGATAAATGGGAGCTCACCCCATCTCGCGGATTCAAACAGCCAACCCCCAGGTCAGCAGTTCAGCTGGCACGAGGGTTTAACCCATTGCACCACTGTGGCTCCAATTTCTGTATAATATAATATATAATATGTTGTATAATATTTTTATTATAGAACATATTAACACTTATCTGCTACATTCTCTTACATCAGCTATATAACAATATATGTCTTAATTAGTATAGTACTTCAAAATAACATCACAAAACAGCAGTTATTACATTTTTATATGTAATCTTATCCTCTAACTTCTCTCATTACTATGTTTTCTTGCTAAATAAAATATCTAATTAATTAACTATGTAGATCTCTCTTTTTAAAATGATACCCATCTTCCCAATTTTATACAGTGAGTTTTATTATTTCAAAATCACAAAAATCCTTTCAATGATTTTACTACAGAATTGGTGGAAGGTCTCATTCTGACACCTGAAGTTATTATGAAATATAAGGCCGTATGCATCTGAAAAGCATTCCTTAAATCAACACTACCATTCAGAGTGGAGCACAGGAAATAATTCAATGCTTTAAAAAACAATATACCATTAAATAAACAATTCAATTAAAATGTAAACAAGATTAAAACTATTAAAACATACAAAACTTTGCAATTACAACTATAAAACCACGTTTTCTGCAATCATAGTGTCAAGACCCAGGCGGACCAGCAAGGCAAGACACCAGTTAAGGAGTTAAACAAAGGTCTTTAATGTCCATTAACATAACAAAAAGGGCTCTTAAAGGCAGAGCTGTAAACACAAAAGGGCTTGCGGTCAGCAAGAATGTAAACAAACCAAGTCCCAGTCAGTCCTCGCTGGGAAAAGGAAAGCAGCAAAACACAGGCAGTAAAGCTTGAATTCAGCAGCAGAAACTCAGTTCATTTCAGATCCAAACAAAACAGCAAACAGCAATCCGCATGAGGAGCGGTCCAACGAAGTCACCAAGGGATTAGCAGAAGCGAAGAGTAGTCAGGCAGTCCGAGGGTCAGGGCAGGAGATAAGACTCACGACTCCAGTTCCGGCAAGGTCGTCCACACGATCAGGAATCCACGAAGCTGTAAGCAGGAGCTCAGGGCAAGAGTTAAACACAAGGCACACGATAACACGACACTTTGAACTCTGCACCTAGTCTGCTCCCAAACTGCTCCTTAAATCTCATCCGAGTCGCTGGAGTTACTTTCAGGTGCATCCATTTCCACAGGTGAATCCCGACTTCTCCATTGCTGCCAGTCTGTACTTCGGACTGCATCCTGCAAAGTAGTATCTGAAACCCAAGTGTCAGTAAAACCCTGGAACTCATCACTAGACGTGGGAGCATTAATCACATCTAACACTTCCTGGACCTTGGTCCAGTCCAGCTCTTCCTCTTCGCTGTCAAACTCCTCACAATCAGCTACATCTTTAAGGCGTTTAGAAACAGATCCCACATCACTATCCGAGCTGCTTGCTACTCGCTTTACACCACGGTAATCCTCCACCTCCATTTCCTCGCGAGTAAACCCCTCAAAATCCTCCTCATCTGTAGGCTCAAGGAACAAGTCTCTAATACGCTTCAGCTGTTGCTGGGCGTCTTCCTCTTCCAAACCTCTTTTCCTTCTACTACTACTAGTAGGTACATGAGACAGACGCTGAGTCACAACACTATCCCCCCCTTCAAGGCCCCCCCTCCGCAGGCAGAGCCACAGGGCGCGAGATACACTCAGTCACTTGAGGCCGAGACTCCAAGGTGGCTAACTTGAGCATAGAGCGATGAAACACAGGATGTATCTTCATGGATGGGGGTAAACGCAAACGAAACGCCACGGGCGAGATTTGTTTAACAATACGATAGGGACCAACATAGCGAGGCCCAAACTTGCCCCCAGACGGCTTCAAATGCTTGGAAGAGAGCCAAACCAAATCTCCCTCCTTGAGCTCAGCCCCCTCCTGCCGATGCTTATCGGCCTGCTCCTTCTGAGCATCCTTAGCTTCCAAAAGGATACGTCTGGCCACATCATGCAAGGCAAGAAATTCATTAGAACGATACACAGGGTCCGTAGAAATAATATCATGCGCCGGAGCCGACCCCCATCTAGGCTGCATCCCATAAACCAGTTCAAAAGGGGAATAGCGACTAACAGCATGGGTAGCATTGTTGTATGCAAACTCAGCCACGGGAAGCCACTGCACCCAATCCCCAGCTTGCTGTAAACAAAAGCAGCGCAAGTACTGTTCTAACAGCCCATTCACGCGTTCTGTCTGGCCATCAGTTTGTGGACGGAAAGCTGATGAGATATTTAACTTCGTCCCCATTTGAGCTTGAAATTGCCTCCAGAATCTAGACACAAATTGAGGGGCACGATCTGAAATTATAGTGTCCGGAGCCCCATGTAACTTGAACACATGTTTCATGAACAGCTTGGCCAACCCAGGTGCCGTAGGAACCTTCGCACACGGTACAAAATGAGCCATCTTAGAGAACAGATCCACTATCACCCATATACAAGCATATCCCCGTGCCCTAGGCAATTCTGTGATGAAATCCATGGATATCACTTGCCAAGGTCTCTCAGGTACTGGTAAAGGAGATAACAGCCCACTTGGCCTCCCAGGAGCGTGTTTACATTGTTGACACACAGCACAGCTGTCACAGTACCGCAAAATGTCCTGCCTCATCTTTGGCCACCAAAAGTTCCTTGTTATTAATTGCACCGTTTTAAACCTCCCAAAATGTCCCGCAGACGGTTCATCATGGTGGGACCTGAGAATCTCAAGGCGCAAGCTACCTGCAGGAACGTACAGCTGCTCTCTACGCATCAGAATCCCACCCTCATTACGGAGGTTAGCAAGTACAGTCTTCTGGCCACTAGCTAACAGAGTTAATTGTTCCTGAGTCCAAATGTCCTCAGCTTGTGCTGCCTTGACCTGATCACAAAGATCACCCGCACCTTCCATTAGATTCAGAGCTGCAGAAGGTAACACAGTCTGCATAATGGGTGCCACATTAGTCTTGTACTCAGACTTTCTGGACAGCGCATCCGCCCTCAGGTTCTCTTTCCCCTCTATGAATTCAACACGAAAATCAAAACGACTAAAGAAAATAGCCCAACGAATCTGTCTTTGATTCAATTTGCGGGCGGTTAACAAATGTTCCAAGTTGCGATGATCTGATCGCACCACCACTTGGTGCCTGGCACCTTCTAACCAGTGCCTCCAAACTTCAAAGGCAACTTTAATCGCCAATAACTCCTTCTCCCATATAGTATAGTTCTGCTCACAAGGAGTCAATTGGCGTGAGTAGAAGCCACAAGGGTGTAAGGTACCAGCCGAATCCAATTGGAACAAAACAGCTCCCAGCACGTAGTTGGAGGCATCAGCTTCAACCACAAATGGGCGATCCACATCTGGTTGACACAGGACTCTCCCATCGGCAAAACTGCATTTGATAGTTTCAAATGCCTTCTGAACCTCCTTAGTCCATGCAAAGGGTTGGTCCTTCTTCAGGAGGCGAGTCAACGGCACCGTGATTTCTGCATAGTGGGGAATAAATTCTCGATAATAATTAGCAAAGCCCAGGAAACGCTGCACATCTTTTTTCGAGGTGAGTTCCTTCCAGGACTGGACAGCATCCACCTTATGCGGGTCCATTTTCACTTCCCGCCCAGAGACTATATGACCAAGGAACTCAACCTCAGGGACGTGGAACACACATTT